GTACACTGTACTCTGGTGGCGGGTAGTGCACAGATAGTCTGGAACAGAAATCCCCAAATATTTTTCTTTCAAAGGCATCTTTTAAACGAACGGTGTGCCGTTGTAGCAGCACTGGTTTTTGTAATCAAGGGGATCTTGATTATTCTGACTAGGCTCTGGTTACAATTTGTCTATTGATCCCCAATCGCCCACTTAATCGCCATTGACCCCTTTTCAAAGGGGTTCTCTTGCGACCGCGTGGGGCCCACTGGAGCCCGCGGGCGGCGCGGGGCGCGCAGCGGTGCTCGCCGCAGGCCAGCCCTGACATTTGGCGCGGCAGAGCGCGTGCGGAGCGCGGCCGCAGCGGGGGGAGACGCGGTTGAGGCGGCGGCGGTGGAGGCGGAGATGCCGGCGGATAGGGTCGCAGTGGCGGTGGTGATAGCGGAGACCGGCGGGGAGCCGGGAGGCACATGGGGTGTTTTGAGCTTGCCTCGCCTGGGGCGGTGCCTCGCTGGTGAGAGACACCTGGGGCGAGAGATACCTCACTGGTGAGAGATATCTGGTTAGTGGGAAATACCTGCTTGGTGAGATATACCTGGTTGGTGAGAGATACCTGAGGCGAGAGATACCTCGCTGCTGAGAGACATCTGGTTGGTGAGAGATAACTGATTAGTGAGGGATACGTGGTTAGTGAGAGATACCTCGCTGGTGAGAGATATCTGGTTGGTGAGAGATACCTGGGGCGAGAGATACCTCGATGATGAGAGATACCTGGTTGGTGAGAGATACCTAGTTGATGAGAGATACTTAGTTGGTGAGATATACCTGGGGCGAGAGATACCTCGTTGCTGAGAGACATCTGGTTGGTGAGAGATACCTGGTTGGTGAAAGATAACTGATTAGTGAGGGATACGTGGTTAGTGAGAGATATCTCGCTGGTGAGAAATATCTGGTTGGTGATAGATATCTGGTTGGCGAGTGATACCTGATTGGTGAGAGATACCTGGGGTGAGAGATACCTCGCTGGTGAGACATATCTGGTTGAGGAAAATTCCACCAATCCAACGGGTAGGTTGGCGCTGGATCTCCCCATCCAGCGAATGAAGATCACCGCTATCTTGCGCGAAAGAAAGCATGTATTACACCAACGGAACTAATGAACTCAGCAGTTGGCGCGGACGGAATCACTAATAAATCCACTACGTGACGGTGGTAGGATGGCTGCGGCGACTCTAATGCTGGCGGTGGTTCATCAGGAGTCGGTAGATCGTATAAAGGCGGTTGTGAGTGTGCCGATGATGGCTCAGATGGTAGTGATGGCAGTGCTGGCAGAGATTACTGTAAGGAGAGTGGCGGTGTTAACGACGTGATCGATGGAGTCGTGAGGAATGGTAACAGCAGTTGGTGCTACAGCGGCTGTGGAGCAAAGGTGGAAATGTGGTGAGGGCAGAGGTGCAGTGATTAGCGTCGTTTGCGGCAGCGGCGCCGAAGCTGCGTTATGGAGGCGGTGTGTGGAGCAGAGTGGCGGCGCGGAGAAAGAGATAAGCGCTCCGCTCTCACCTTCTTGCGGCGAGGGGAACTGGAGAGTGGGCCTCCCCCTTCTGCTCTCACGTGCCGCGCAGCAACTCTTCCGCTCCAATGGTGGCAATTCTAAAGGGAGCTTTTAACATCACCATCAGGTCTCAGAAGCAATGATAGATATGTTGCTTCTTTACTAATTTAACCAATGTTTTTGTATTAAAATATCAGTATACATTAATATAAAGTTATTCATTTGTATGCGTTAATGTAATGAATCTTAAGATTTTCTTCTTTAAATAATCATATATTACGTAAAATAAATACGTCAAATGATATTTTAAATCAATTTGCTCTGTCTGAATTTTTTTGTTCCGCTTTCCCTGAAGTCTCTTGAACTGCAAAATGAGTTTTCTTCTTCTTCTTCTTCTTCTTCATCTTCATCTTCTTCTTAATATTATTATTATTTTATTATTATTATTATTATTATTATTATTATTATTTTATTATTATTATTATTATTCGTCTTTCCCTGATGCTTCTCAGCGTCGGGTGAGCCATTTGATATACTCCTTTTTGCCTTATGCCTTGCGCTTCACCTCTTCTAGCGTAGCTCCGCACCTTTGCCATACACCTGTATATGGCCCTATGTTTATTTTGGTCTTCCAGATGGTCTCTTTCCCTCTGGCCTGGCTTCAATAATTTGTTTCGGCTTTCTATCCTCTGCCATTCAATTGACATGTCCATGCCACTTCAGAGCCATGTTTTTCCATTTCCTTTAGTAATGGTGTAACGTTTAGATCCTCTCTAACTGTGTTATTTGATATCCAATCATTTCTTGTTTTCTCTACTCTCCTGCGTCAGAATTAAATTCCCACTGCTGTGATTATACTTTATGATTTTGTATTATTTGGCATACTTTAAGTTCCATATATAAATCTTGATATACGTATATACGGACTTACAAATTTTGAATTTTGTTTTAGTGCCTACACTCATTTTTAGTAAGTTCTTATTTATTTGATAAATTAATTATTATATATTATTATAATTTAATAATAATAAGTTAGCTTTCTTCACTCTATTTTTCAGTTTCTCCTAATATTTTCCGTCTTCCGAAATTATTGTTCATAAATTCTCGTAACTTGTTACTTTCTCCTTGTTTTCCTGTCTTCACTTAATGTTATTTTCCTCCTTTTCTTTGCCTATACACATAACCTTGCTCTTATTGATGTTTATCTCCATACCGGCATTCTCCAGTGCTTACCCCTACTCTATTGCCATCTCTTGCAGCTCTCTTGGATTTTTGGGGAGCAATAAAATATCGTCCGCATACATCAAGGCTTGTATCTACACCGGTCTCAATTTCCAATTTCGCGCAGCATTACGTGGAACGAGTTTTCGTTACCCCTAAACAATAATTTTTTTGTGCCGAAAATCCCTGTTTTTTTGCGGAGCATTATATTACTTTCTCTATACTATTTATATTACTACGTATTTGCTACAGTATATTACCCTGATATAAGTGCGTATACGAGGTTGTAAGTGTAAAGTAAATACACAGTATTCCCTTTATTTCCCTATGTACCCTTCTGAACATATACTTACAAAAATTCAATCTCGATCTTAAACTGTAAACATCAATTCTGGAACCCATTACAATCTCTGGATTCGACATATGATCCCCTCTCTAGGTGGGCACACTTTCAAATTTCAAAGTACTTCGACTCTTTTCCGGTAATTCAGTTATTTATTTTGTTTCTTCAGCACAACTTGAAACTATTGAATATTTCACAACATTCGAACAAAACAGCATATAAAAATAAGACTTCTCTCTAATACTGTCTAAGACTTCTGTCTAACCTGTTAATAAATTGCCCTATTTATTTTGAAAAATAGCACTTACCTTTAGCAATGTTATTTAAGAAATAATATACAATTATATAATTGTTTCATAAATATACGAGTACCAAACTTCTGCTATAAAGTCCATGATTGTTTCCTAAAATTTCCAAATCTCTAAAAATGTCTTTATTCTTTGCTTTTTCCTGATAAAGGTCACAATGTCCGACTGACCTGAAGAAAATAATTAGATATTTAGAGCATATTAGATTATTTCTTAACCATAATAAAAAGTCCTAACTACTGTAAGAATCTTCTCTAAAATCAGAAATATCTCTTCGCAATGTGCCTGTCCTATCCAAGATAGATATTATAAAAATAATTTTCTACTATTTTTAATTATCCTATACAAAAATATTTTTCATTTTTCAAACTAGAGATCATTTACTAGCTGCCGAAAAACTATTTTTAAGGTCTGAACAACTATTTGTAACTATGTAGTAACATCGATCAAATTTCGACGTACCAATAGTAGTTCTCGAAATGTAGTACTCATACCTCGTAAATGAGTAAAGGTTATTGCAGTCATTATCAAGTCCATAACTAATCGTATTTTGCTTACTTTGCATTGTGTAATCGTCGTATTTATGTAGAATTCAAGTGTTGAAAAAAGATCTAGACATCATTTTTGGCATGCTGCCCATTAATTCTGGAGTTGATACGATCCAAACCTTAGTGAACAGATAAATGTCAGATGACCAGCTACGTGATGAAGGAAAAGCACGACTATGTATTCGACGTTGACCTTGCCTTCACAAACTACATGCATTGAATCATCGTGTTGTAAACTATTAAATTCTAGGCACTTTTACAGTTTAAGAAGAAACACGTCGTGAGTGATCTAAGTGTTGTAACATGGTGCAGAATGACAACTAATGGGTGAATTTATTGTACCATAACTTCATATAAAGTCGGTCGATCGTTAGCAGACCATGTCTTAACCACAATGTGTCTTTAAAATTAACATGTTTCGCGTTCGCCAAAAATTACTATACCGGTGAACGATTAAAGCTCGCACAAATCACACTCTGAAAATGTGGTAATGGCTTGTGAGGAGAGGATTTGGAGGGCAAAGAGGTTGGGGAATCGTCCCAATAGGGGGATACAACGCTGTAAATTTGAGTTAGACGTGAGGCATGGGTATTTTCATCACTTTATTGTGACGTCATTTAGTTTGTTTTACGCAAACCACCAGTTCTATTACCAGAGAAAAATAAAAGACGTGAAGGTACGGGCCCTCATGTCACCAGACCCCATCAGCTTTCTGGTTCTTCTTTAATAAGATGCTGGTGCATAAGTACTATGGAAAACCTGGCGGGAATATATCATTGTATGAAAATGTGGTCATAAACATGTGGCATGAATGTTGATAGAAGAATGGTGAGGTGTGAGGTATGGTGAACGGAAAAACGCCCAGAAAACCTACCTCTAACTCTCTTTGTCGACCAAAAATTCCAAATGAACCGAACTTGTACACGAACCCCAGTGATAGTAGGCAAGCGGTTTCGTCTTTACTTCATGGGTCGACTCAGTCTTCGGGATCAAGGGGTGGTTATCATCATATAAGGAGAATAATTTTAAAAGAAAATACTATAGTAAAGTTGAAAGAGGAAGAAGTTTATTCCGTCGTCGAAACTACATGAACGCTGCGGCAGCAAACCTCAGAGCGTCACGTGACTGCGCCGGCGGCATTGAAGAGGAGAAGGGTATTTAGATGGTGCCAGGAGCAGGCTGCACGTTGACGTGGGTGCTGCCGATGACATGGCCGGGCAGGGGGGCGGAGTGCACGGCGCCACGGGTCACGGCGGTGTAGCTGTGGGCAGACAAGTGCGTCGTTAATGACTTTATCCATTACATTTAACGTGCTCTTTTTTAAGGATATTTTTTCACTGCTTTAAAACGATAACCACTGAACATTTTCTCTCTCATAATCTTCTAAATAGCATGAACTGATTTTTCTACTGCTCTGCAAATAAAACTAATTGCAACTGGTGGGTACCAAAGTTGTTTAGAAGTGAGTGAATAAAAACTAACTTAATTGCGGCAGGTATGAATTTGAGAAGAGTTTCACCAAACTACCTACCTTCTGATAAGGGTAAAATGATATCTCAAACAGAGAATTTATTTTTAATTAGTGCTAGTGTTTTGATAATGAAGACTGTTGTCAACGAAGAAAGAAAGGAATATTTATAAATTGTCTATCTGCCAACTGTATAATAGCTTCAATGTTTCTATGGTTGAGCATATTCTCTGATTGCAATTTTTTTTAGTATGACAATGACAAGCTTAATATTTTACTGCAAATTTCTGGTTTTAAAATAAAGGATTTTGATAAATGATTTTCACTCTTTACTCAAAACATCTTTATAGAGTGGCGAGGCTCAGATCATGCGACCTGCATCCAAGACCATATGCACGTTGTAAAGAGGTTCCTGCTCTGAGAATCAGTTGATGTTGATCTTAAGCAACGAGTATTCAACCATTTGGAACGAGAACGTACCAACTGACATAATCGAAGAAATTGCGTTACTGTGAGAAGAGTCTGAATCCTACCATCAGTATAACATTCTTGTGACACAATCCGTGAACAAATAGCTGACGTAAAAATCCCTATTGTAGGTGGGAAAATACCTGAATAGGCGGAGAGATGAAGCTTTGACATCAATTTACTCGAAACTTCTGAAAGTTGGTTCGAACCCTGCCATTTCAAAGGGTCGCGGTGGGCAGAAGTTGTTACGTCATGACGATGGCTCGAATACTCACCCAGCGGCCACGGGGGCGGCGGCGACGACGGCGGGCGCGGCGTAGGCGACGGCGGGCACGTGCGCGGCGTAGGAGATGCCGGGGGCGACCAGGGCGGTGTACTGGGTGGCGACGGGGCCGGCGATGATGCCGGCGTGGGCCACGGCCAGGGCGACGAGGAGGACAGCGACGACGGCCTGAGGACAAGCGTGATGCTCAAGAGCGATCTTTCCTCTGAGAACAGTCCTCAAAGAGATGCACCTTATCACTGGATGATAGGGACATTTGGGCGGAACTGTGGACTTTTCAAAATTGTGAAGAACCATTTGGCAAAATAATCTACCGGAAATAACAGCTCAAACACTTACACCAGTTTAATTTTAGATTTTATATTAGTACTTTGATTTACTACGTGCTTTTAACTCTTTCTTTGTCATTCAAATCTCTCATTCAAATCAAATAACTCGTTTCAAAATATTTGTCATTTAAATCCGTACAGCAGCAGTCCGACAAGGCAGAAAATATTTAGTTTTACTGAGAATAATTCGATTTAATACTGACACAATTTAGTACGATTTTTTAGCTCAAAATAACAATTTATCACGGTAAATCAAGTCAATATTGGAATTCGAATTAAAATTTACTTGATAAATTTGCAAAATAATATGTGCTTTACTTGCAAGTAAAACTCCGCCACTTTCCCGCAGGTTCCATTTTTGAATGACAAAACGCTTTGCAAAATCGCTACTTTGGGATGCCAACACCTCCTAAGAATGCATAATCAGCTCCCATCGGTATTCCTGCGCATGCACCGGCTCTTACCTTCATGATGCTGAGTGTTTCGTTGCTAAGACGACACGTACTGCGAGGAGCGGTGACGCGTCTTATATACGTGCGACACGTCCTCCGGTGGCAGGGCGTGGCCCCCGCACCGCAACCGCCGCCCCCGCCGCTCCTCGCTCCGCACCGCCCCCGCAGCCCGCCCGGCGCGAGGCCAGGCGAGGCGCTTCCTTGCTTGCCGTTACATCCCCAGCCCAACCCGATTCTCCCGCTCCGCCCTCGCCGGCGCCTTAAACCCGTGCCTCAGCGCATCGTCGCTTCGCTCGTTCCCACCCTGTATTCCGGTGACTTGTCCACCCTGTTCCGGCCTCCCCGCCGCCGCCTTCGCCCATTCTCTCTGTTCCCCAAACTGACTTGGCCGTCCCTCCCGCCCACCCTCCCGGCTGCGTCTCAACCCGAGCCGCCCCCGACCTGCCTCACCCCTCCCCAATCTGATGCATCACGCCCCTCGATCCGTCCTAGCCTCACCCGTCCACCCTGTCCAGGCCCCGACCCATCCCGCTTCGTGAATTCGTATTGCCTCAGCGTAAAAAACCATTATGTCTGTGCCCCATCCTCACCCTACCTTTCGTCCCACCCCTCGTCTCCCACTCAACGCGGTTCCGGCCGTGGTCGCCGGCGCGCCGCGCGCTCCCCGCTGCTCCCGTTTGGCCACGAGCCGAGCGCTGGGCGTCCTCCTCCTCCTCCGCCAACGCCTCCTCTTTGCGACACCGCGTCCGTGCAACGGCCGTTGGCAGCCTCCCGCAGCAGCAGCCACGGACCTTTTGGGGAAGCCTCCTCCGTCTAGCGCAGGGCCTGGCCTCCCGCAAGGCTCGGATCGTGATGACCTACAAATTATTTGAAATGACCTGCAAAATGACTTCAAATAAGACGAAAATGAGCTTTCTTTAAAATGTACTAAACAAATTGAGCGATAATGTTTACTATTAAATGGATTTTACAAGTTTAAATAAAATGTATCATCAACAGCAGCAACTGCAAGGATTAGACTAATTCAATCTGTTTCGCATCCTGAAAACTGCTCATTCCATCTTCTCAGTGATCTTCCCACATATCTTCTCCCTTTTGGCTTGTAATTCAAGGCAACTTTTACTATTCTTACATCGGACATTCTCAATATATGATTTTTCTATATGTTTTAATAATTTCATTCACACTTAAAATGTTTATTTCTAATTTCTCAGCTTTTCTTGTGTTCAACAAGTGTATAGCCTGCTAAAAGTGTATAGCCTTTCAAAAAACTTCATTTCAACTAATTCTAATTTTCTAATTTAGTCTTCAGTTAGTGTCCAACATTCATTCCCCATATAACAGCGTGGAAAGAGCCATTGTTTTGTAGTTTCATTACAATGTCTTTTCTGACTTTATTTGTCAAAGTTCGAGCTATTGTACTACTGATATGTATATATAACCTTAATTTTTCTTGTAAATCATTATTTTTATAATATGTTATTTTATAGCCAATGTAATTAAACGCATTTATTTGTTCTATTATATTTTTCCAAGGGTTATTTTTGTTCTTATTGGTTCACAATTCCTAAAAGCCATGATTTTAGTTTTGTCTATTAATATAATCATGTTATATTGCTTAAGTATATTATCTAATTTAAATATTTGTTCTTGGATACTGTCTTCTGGTAGCCTATAACGACTTCATCATCCGCAAACAACACTGTGGCTATATTTACATTATTTACTATAAATTGTCGGTTTGTAATTTTTAGCCACTCATTTATGACTTCCTATGAATAAAATAATTTAAATAAAATAAAATTTATATATACTTCATTTATATACATAAAATTTATTTATAAACAATTGAACTTCATTTAAAGTCTTTATTTTATGGAGGAAATGTCATCTTTAGCTCCATACAGTCAGTTCAGCAAGGCCAAGGAATTCACTAATAATTCATGTAATTTTGAGACTCCGAAAAATAGTCCTCTGCAGAATTGAATTTCGTCATTACCTGATGTTACAATAAAACATTTTTAGTCTGTCATTTTAAATTCATAAAACATTCCCTAAACACGAAAAGGAAACAAAATACGTTAAAATGACAAAAAATGCGCAAACGTAAAAACATTACTTAAAAATTGAAGAATGGCAAAAAATGATCCAACAATTATACATTTGTATCACTTACATGTCAGGATAAACATTAATTTACAAGTTGCCTTCATCTACAATGCACCAATGAAAAGAAGACATGTCATCTGAATCCACGCAATGCTCATCACCCTCACCCAGGCTACGCAATTTATTTGGAGCTAATTTTTCCAATTTCAAAACAACTCAAGTCGCATTATTTGCTGAAGACACAGATTTCAATCATTTCGCCAACCAATAGAATCAGAATTTAATTATTGCCATGAAAATAGGTACACTAAGCTATTTTTTCAAATAGCTGAAAAAATATTACGCTTAAGATTCATGCACCTTCACAATACCTTTAACCGAAAAATAATAAATTAACAACATGGAACACATGATGTAAAAGAAACTAATATTGTGATATATCAATTATTTAATATAAAAATTGACTATAAAACTAAGCGACGAGATAAAGGAGGTCAAGTGGGGCGGACGCACAGGGAGGTCGAACCGAGCTGCCTTTTGTGTAGTCGTGTCGAACCGCGAAGGGTCGCGAGGAGGCGACTGAGTGCCAACAAATGTGCGGCTCCGCCGGCCAGCATGCCGAACCACGCGCGAGCGTAGCGCGAGAGCCCTGCACAGAAAAAAACAGCGTCCCCCTGCAACTGCCAATTACGACATGCCGATAAATGGGACATTCGTTTGCTAGTAGTGGTTGTAGTAGTAGTAGTAGTAGTAGTAGTAGTAGTAGTAGTAGTAGTAGTAGTAGTAGTAGTAGTATCAGTAGCAGAAATAGCAACAGTAGTACCTATAGTAATAGTGGTGATGATTTGATAAGCGAGTTTCGGTCTAATTACATGAATCAAAATTTAGGGAAGTAAACGGCCTAAGTTATCAATCGTAATAATGTTCATCATTTCTACCTCAGAAATTCCAAAATTCCAATCCATAGTTTATGCTTAGGAAATAGAAAGGATAAATTACAATAAGTGTGTGTGTGTGTGTGTGTGTGTGTATGCGTGTGTGGGCTACGCAGAGCGGCCGCAGCTATACAGAGAGCCCTCGAAATTGACATCAATAATTACTAAGGAGAGAGTAAGGAGGGGAAACTAACCACACCCGATAGTGGTTATGCGGTAATCCGAAGACGGTTGTACGTAGACGGTTGTAGATTGTCGTACACACAACAATAATTTAAACAAAAAAATATAAAATTCTCCAATTTTATTACCCATCACCCGAAACAACCCTCTACAACTAAATAGCAATATTGATTATTAAATTCATGTTCACTGCCCTCTTCCTATATTGCGGCCTTATATCAATTATTGCATCCAAAGAACTGAACAAATGGAAAATAATACAAAACAGATATATAGCAAACGCTATATCGTTTACAAACAGTAAATAATGGCAAAAAAACTGAACATTAAACTTTCCCTACAGCACGCTACCACAGCATTGCTATCTTGGTACTTCCACAAAAACAATATCCAATGACCCCGGCTTAAAATTCCGAAAGAACATAAACCACTCAACTGGAATTACTAAAGGTACTTCGAATATTCAAATCTTGAAATTTTCAACGTAAAAATAAATTAACTGTAAATCAGATTAAGATTTTTTCTGAGACAACGAAGCACATGCCATCCACACAAAATGAAAATCAATATTTTAAAGAATATGTTAACGTCTGTTATCAGATTTAATTGTCATACTAATCTGATCTTTTTAAAATAGGTGATAACATTTTTTTAAAATAATGAATAGCGTAAAATTTATAATTTTTGGCACATCTGCTCTCAAAACTATGTGATATTGGACCATGTGAGGTGTCCACACGAAGACATAAATGAACGCTACCTTACGGAAGGTGAACTGCTAATTATCAAGATGTGCGGAAAATGAACAAAAAATAGCGATTTAAATCTTCATTTCAATACAAGAAGATGTGCGACACAAAAGATACAAGGTGTAATCGAGAAAAATCTCTAAATATTAAGTACGCAATAATAATATAAATACTTACATCTTTTTAACAGACTACACTTTTTAATGATCAGAAGCCCAAAATCCCTTGTACACTGTCTGTAATACCAATTCCATGAGGTACATCCGAGTATATATATATATATATATATATATATATATATATATATATATATATAAATATGCCTTTTACAAAGAGAAAATATTAATCATATGATACAATGTACCCACGTGTATGTTCCTATTTAAAATAGGGACATTAGATATTTCAGAACTCAACTCGTCTGGTGACATTATACAAAATGGCCGCATATTGTGTCAACTAAAAACTCAACAACATAAAATCAATTTTATTTTCGCGGTTGAAGCTTGCGTTCCCCACCGTTCATTTCAAAGCCTTAAG